CTTGCCTCCAACTTCTTCTTCTACAGTTGCAGTGTGTCAGAGTGTAAAAAGGCTTCTCCTCCCACACACACACACACACACACACACACACACACAGTTCAAACCTGCTCACACCTGAGATACAAACTGATTCAAATAGGTAAGAAGGTCAGGCCATTGCTTTTCTATTTTTTTCTGCTCCTTGTTTATATCTTACCTTCCTTTTACTTTCTTTAAAACATATTACAGGGATTCACAGACACAGATGTACAAATACTGTACAAAGGGTTTTCTTCTTTGTCTTACTCTCTCGTCTCCTTTCTTGCTCTGTATTTCACTCTTTTATTCTCTTTTATTTCTGTTTTTCACATATTTAATTCTTTCCATAACATTCTACTCTTACGATGCATTCAAACAAAAAAAACCAAGGATGTTTAAGAAGAACGTTGTTGAAAAGTAAACCGAACATGTGAGCAGAATCATTTTCACACCTCTTTCTTGTGTTGCAAAGAAAAGAAGAAATCTCTGTTTTTTCCTTTCTGAGTGTTTTGTGTTTTTTCTCTCTTGTGCGTGCAGCAGGATCAGGGCCCTGCAGTCCTGTTGTCGGGGCCTCACTGAGGCTTGTGCCGGCCCTGCAGCCGGGGCAGAGATGATTTGTGTGCAGCCTGGGTTTGGTTTTGTTCCTGCTGAGCTGCATTTGAATAAGAATGATGCCAATAGAGTGGCTGAGGCAGAAAGAAAGCAGCACAAAAGGCCAGAGGAGCTGAGTTTGGACGAGGGACAAACCAGGAGAGGAGTGAAAAGAAGTGCAGGGCGGACGGCCACAATGGAACAATTCACCTTCTAATCGCTTTGATATATTATACATGCCTGAAGACTCTAAACATTGTGTAATTATTTATAAATGACCGCCCCCCCCTCTGCAGAATAAAGCTGCAGAAAGACTCTGCAGGTCTCTGCTGAGCTGCAAACTGAATAAATGGAATAATTAATGGAAAATGGTATGCCTGTCTCATAAAGATGTCTTTAAAAAACACTTAAAGAAAATTGTCCTGTGTGTGCGTGCTCTCTGCACGGTTTACTGCTGAAAGGACAAACAAAAAGCCAGACTGCATGAAGTGAAACAGTTCAGGGTCATTCTCAGTGCTCCGTGTTGATCACTGTTGGTCAGGCTCAGACGGCGGGTTGGACTCTCTCAGTCTGCTGAAGCTCTTTTACATCAGATTAAATGTCTGCTGAAAGCGTTGCTGGAACATTCCAGGGGCTTCTTGACGTCTGCCATTTGATATCACCATGAGCACAGGGGACAGCATGCATCTCAAACCAAAAGGAATGCATGAAGTATACAAAACTTACAGCGCTGAAAAGTCCTCCATGGATTCACTGGATAATATACCACCTTGTCTATGCTTGTTTGGTATGTCACATAATAGGTCAACTGGAAGAAGATCCAATACTGATTAGCTGACAGTGAGAATATCGCCACCTACCAAAGTGAGTCGGACATACTGGTCAATTCATCCTTTTTCCCTTAGTGCATGAAACCCGGACGAGCACAGTCGTCTGATCAAACGGCCTTATCGAGCAAGAACCACAGCTCGACTAAACAGTGCCAATAAACATACTGTCTGATTCTGTGTGAGAGCGTGGTGTTCCTCAAGGCTCCGCTCTCCGTCCCTTTTTCTTAATATATATAATCACCTGTTGCTACAGGCAACCATAACCTGCACAAACCTCTCAAACTTGTATTTTCTATTAAAAAAACACATTTCTTTACTTCTTTGTCTCAGTCCTGAGAATCCTGACAGATAAAAGTGTTAACTTGTTTTGAAGTTTTGGTGTCTGACATTTAGCCCCAAAAAACCAAGGCACACAATGTGTACAATTACCTCAAAGCAAAATCTGTTTTCACACAAGCAGTCAGTGAAGAAGAAGGATGAAATGTAATCCTCTAATCAGACTTCAAGCTCCTCTTACATTCAGCTCACTGATAAATCCTCGAACTGCTCTTTCTCTCCTCTCTCCTAATACATGAGGTTGAGAATAGAAGAAAATACAGAAGAAAATTCTCTGTCAACTTTTGTAGAGTGCAAATATATGCCTTTAGAAAACACAAGGAAACACATACCAGAAATACAACAAGACAGACAACAGAATGAAGAACAGACACAAGAGAGCCACATTTAATGAGGGCTTAAGACAACTATCACATATTGTGGTGTAGGATAATCAATGAGAAAGTACCTTTAAAATACATTTATTTCTGATGTTTATTATGTTTATTATAAAAAGAAACAAATTAATATATTCTCATTCAATTAAATTGTAAAATAAGTAAACTTTTCTTTTTTTTGGTACTTTCTTTTTATTGATATTTTCAGACTGAAACAAGGCAAAAGAGAGAAGGTAGCAGGAAAAGAAAGGAAAAAGGCAAACATGGGTGATACATTAGTGGAAAAAAAACAAAAAGACAAATCAGAGTTTTTCATTTAAGGTGGGTTACTTTGCGTACAGAATATAGTCAGAACTCTTCCAGACGTTTGTATATTGAACCTGAATGAGCAGGTCAGTCTTTCCATGCAGTTTATGTCATTGACGACTGCAAAACAATCATCCTGCAGCCACTTCTGGACTTTATAGAGATATTTATCATGTGACATGAGATTGGTTCGATAAAAAAGCAGTCCACTTTTATTCTAAACTTCTGCAACCTCCTTCCAAAAATGGATCTGTGAGCAACTCCCAAAATACATGAACATGATCTGCCATTGATTTACCACATAGCCTCCAGCATTGGTTCTGACCCTGAGAGCCCTGCTGTAAAACACTTCAACTTCAGAGTTATAAAAGAAGCATATTATTAAGTTCTTCCAGCAGAACTCTCGCCTTGAAAATGTTCTTGTGACCCGATTGTTCAAAATGTCATTCCAGTCGTCTTCAGATATCTCCTGGCCGGACTCCCTCTCCCAGTCAACTGTCCTGACGCCAAACAGCAGCAGATGTTTGTGAGGCACACTGATGTATCCCACGTCATCATTAAAGTTTCCAGTTAAAGCTCTCATTCACTGTGAGAAACAAATGTAAAAACATCTGAACTCAACAGAAGAAGAAATAACTCTCCTCAGTATGATCTCACTTAGATTTCCTGGTTTTAAAAAAAAATTATAATTCATTCTGTTTTCTGTTGGCTGATCATCGTTCAGTCTGAGTTTGTAGTTTGTAGAAAAACTTTTTCTTTGTGTTGTTGAAGGATGAGTTTCTCCTGCTGCTCCCTCTCTCTCTCTGTTAGAGGAGAATGGATGATGTGAAGAGGATAAAGGAGGGATGAGGGGATGAATGGATGGAGGGATGGGTGGAAGGATGGGTGAATCTCCGGAGCGTGTCTCCGCCTGGCGGGAGGTGGGGGGGGGTCCTCCTGACTCTTCTTTCTTCATTCTTTCTTTTTTTAATGTTTTTGGTTTAAACTCTAAAGTGGGTTTGGTCTGTTTCTTAGGGTAAGGGGGGGGGGCGGCCGTTCGCGTGGCCGGCCGCTGGCTCTGATTGGCTGGACGTGATTACCGGCACGCTTCAGACACCGCAGGCGTCTTTATGTTAATGAGCAGCTCCACGGCACGGGGCAGACCTGCCGCACATTCATCCTCCTCATCCTCCTCTGTTACAGCGGGGGGGGGACACGGGGAGGGGGGGGGACAGGAGCAGGGGGCCGGTCATTGTCCCGGACTCACTATATAAGCGGGCTGAGGCCGGTCGTGTGCCAAGCTCACCGGCTCGCACGAGCTGATCCATAGCAAGAGAGACGAACAGAGGCGCGTGCCGCTCAGCCCACTCCAGAAAAAAACACTCCGACAACTTCACGCGCTACAGCCACAGGTCCTCACGCGCTCCTCTCCTCAGATAAACCAGAAACCTGTTCAGACATGGACTCCGTCTACTCCGACATCGACAGCAACAGCTGCGACTTCTTCCCGCACTCTGACGACGAGGAGTCCCGCAGCAGCTCAGCCTCCCCGGGCTCCTCCAGCTGTGCAGCAGGCTCCCCGCAGCCCGAGCAGCCGCAGAAGAAGAGGCGCCGCGGCCGCCGCAGCGACGGCACCGTGCAGGTGGTGAAGAAGAACCGGCGCATGAAGGCCAACGACCGGGAGAGAAACCGCATGCACAACCTGAACGACGCGCTGGAGGAGCTGCGCGGCGTGCTGCCCGCTTTCCCGGACGAGACCAAACTCACCAAGATCGAGACTCTACGCTTTGCGCACAACTACATCTGGGCTCTGTCAGAGACCATCCGGATCGCCGACCTGCAAGGTGGAAAGACCGGGGACGCCCCTCTGCTGCTCACCTCCGCGTGCCTCTCCGACGCCTCGAGCCCAGGTAGCTCCTGGAGCTCCAGCGGCTCCTCCTCCTCCTCCTCCTCCTCCTCGCCGCCTTACTGCGCCTCCAGCCCGGGCAGCCCCTCAGCCCCGGAGGACTACAGCTACCTGCAGCAGGACGCGCTGTTCGGATTCCGTAGCTTCGTCACGGGCATCTACTGAGGGACAGATCCCCCAGTGGAGCCCGGGGGGCTCAACAGGAGTCCCGAGGACTCACAGACAGACAAATGTAGGGACAGAGGGACAGTCCTGTGCTGGAATAAGAATCACTGTTTGCCTTATGAGCTCGTTATCTGACGTGACTCTGACCGACTGAAATGAGAATAACTTAATTTTTTTATTTAGTTGTATTTTATTTTATATGTTTCTCCTAAAACCTTTGCACTTCCCCCCTCCCACACACACACACACACTCAGAAACAACTAAACACAATCTGCAGGTTACAGTCAGATCTATCTTTATTGTGTGTCTGAGGTGAAAAGTCAATTTTACAATTAGCAGCGAGCTGCAGCAGAACAGAGAGCGTGCAAATCGAGTTTCACTCTGTGACAAAGACTGAATGGAGCTGCCCTCATCCATTATGTATTCACCCCCCTGCACCCACCAACCCCCCTTTAGATTATTGTTGTTTTTATTTATTTGACTCTGTTGTTGCCCACATGATAAAGTTGTATTTTGTACATAAAGAGATTTTATTCTATTTACTAGAAGCAGTTTTCTACAAATAAAGTTTTAACGTTTCTATAAATGAGCTGTGATGAATCTTCTTTAATCTCTGGGATTATTTAAACACTCTGTATGAACATTAACATGGCTTTACAAGGATTAATAACATCATATTAATATTAATAAGATAACGGTTTTGGCCATGCAGCAGGTGGAACAAAGTCTTACAGCACAAAGATCGTCTATTGTCAGTCATCACTTTAACTGTCATGTTAATGAGAAGCTCTCAAAGAAAACAAACTGCTCAGATACTCACACTGTAAGAAAATACGAAACTATTTAACCATACAGTTATTTTTTATTTTTCATATTTATGATTACTTAGACCATTCGAAGAAAAAACATTTCTGAATTGTAAAAAAAATATTGAGCTTTTGATCCAGATTTTTTATTTTTGCTGCATTTCAATGTTAACATTGAAAAAAAATATCTCTCCTGAGAATCAGAGTTTAAATTAAAGTTTAAATTGTTTTTCTTTATAATTTATGTGATTCAAAGTTCAGCAGAAACTAAAAGAGGCCCCATCGCCTTTTTTGTGCTGATTAGAAACGCGTTAAAAGATCATTAGGAGATGAATCACTGCAGCGGTCTTGTCTCTGCACGTGGATAAACAATAAAATATTCAGGAAGGGGGGGGGGGGCACACAATAGAAAAAGAGACAGAGATTCCCATCTCTTTCTCCTCATTATTTTTTTTTATATAGGCCGTAGTATAACACAAATATTGAAACTCTTTCAAAAACACTAAAGTTTGTCCCACTTGTCTCTGCGCGCCCCCGCCTGCTGCGCGCCCCCGCCTGTTGTATTGTCGGTGTGCGCGGGGCCGTGTGTTAATTGAGCGGGATTAACCGCCGCGTGCACCTGCGGGCTCAGAATGAGGGCACAAAGTTTGAATCTGATTCTATTGTGACTGATCCAAATCTGACAACTGCTGCACACGCAAGAGATGCATTCCTATTGGCTGGAGCTTCCAGGCAGGGTGGAGGTACGGACAAGGGCTGGGGGGTTGGGGGTAAGAAAAAATAGTCATAATGAGGTTAGTGTGCTGAATGATGGTGTGCTAGTGTAGTTTCCATAGTGACAATGGAGGATCATGGATACTTTACTATAGGACTATTCAAAGTGAGGGTCAGAACTTGCATTTTAAACAGTTGATGATCATAAAATTAGTTTAACTGTCTCTTTAGTTTGAGTTATTGTGTTAAAGGGACATCCAAGATCTTGAGGCCCCAACAGACCTCACCTCCATTACACAAATGACCCATTAAAAGCTTAAAGGTAGGTATTCAAAAATGTAGTCCTGCAATACTTTTTGATAACACAATTTTTTTTAAAGGATACAATCTCTTTAATTTGATATTTTTATTGGAGGGATAACCCCTTGAGCTGCACCCTCTCGTTTTAACACAATGAAAAGAAAAAAAAGAAACATTACATAGAAAACATTACAAGACTAACATTCACATACACAGAGCACTCCCACACCGACCCCTCCCTCACCCACCTCGATGCAGATATACATGCAATTTGAACCAATAATATTAATGATCTAAAAGTGGAAAAATGTTGCTTTAAAAAAACAAGTATTCATAAGAAAGGTGAATAAGAGAAGAATAAGTTGCAGGAAAACTCCTGACCCCTGTCTGAATTGCATAAAAACATACATTTTGGAGAAATCGTTTGGAAATGAGGACTTATTGATGTGTTACCATACAGTACTTGCTGGTGCTTAAACTGTATTACATCATAATTTACAGTAGTAGTATAGAACCAGAGTGCCACCTAGTTACAATATGTCCTGGTCTAATCAGCCGGAACAATTTAAAACACTTAAAAGGTTGTACAGAGGCTTAAAGCATCATGTTCATTTATGTGTCCAGTTTTTTTTATTTTGACAGTTCTGATTTAGGGAGAAACAAATCCAAACAAAAACCATCAGTCCCACTTTTACCTCCCTTTACTTCACCCATGATTCTGCATTCATGACTGTAATCTGCAGCAGGAGTTTTATTCTCACTGAATGCAACGTGTTCATCTGCTGCCAAACACCGCCCACCCTGGACCGCAGCACAAAATAATCTGTTGTTGATATTTACTGTTTACTTACATTTGTAAAACGTGTTTAAAAAGTTTTATAAAAGCAACATTATGTAGAAAGTCGATTTTTTTTAAATGAATATTTATCATTTTTATGTGAGACTGGCCTGCATCCTGATCTGCCAGAGTCAAAACACAATCTGGATCCATTACACACTTCCTGCTGCAAATCAGATATAAACAAGAGATACATCAGTCCTGCTTCAACTCCTGCCTCCACAGACACAAACGCCTCCCAGCTGTGAGCACCTCCTCGAGCCTCTGGGTGTGTGTTTTTCTGTGTGTGTGTGTGTGTGTGTGTGTGTGTGTGTGTGTGTCACTGCGTCATGTACATGTTGGTCTCTTCGAGTCTGATTGGCCCTGAGGAAACAGGATTGGTCAACTCACAGGTGTGACTATGTAATCTGGACCAGGTTTCCCCCTTTTCTGTCATTCAGCAGATCTTAATGAAACCAGGATCTCTTGGTTCAACCTGTTAATAGTCTGATCAATATGAATGAATCATCCCTGGCATCATCTGTGACATACTTTTTTCACCCTGATTTTTTTTCATTTTGGCATGAAGACGGTGTGAGCTGGTGTGTGAACCCTGCCGGAAATATTCATGAAAAATCTCCACGAGTGACAACTGAACATGTCTTGATATTTCCAGGCCCTCATGTGAGAAAACAGCTTCTGTTTCTGCAGACTGTCTCTATTTGTTTCTATGTTTTATTACCTACTTTTTCTTATTCCATTTGTAACGGTGTCTTTGCCTCTGGGTTCCGATTGTGGATTCTCTCTGATTGTTATATCACCTCATTAAATATTGATCAGGACAAGATGTCAGATACAGCAGGCTGCCCACCCCACGCTGTGTGTGTGTGTGTGTGTGTGTGTGTGTGTGTGTGTGTGTGTGTGTGTGTGTGTGTGTGTTTGTGAGACCCCCTTCCACCTTTAACTGGACACCCAGCAGGTCATTATTGAAACAGTGGAGGTGAAACACAGTGATTAAAGTCAAACTGTCAAACTACAGTTAATGGACAACAGATGGTGGAGAGAGAGAGAGAGAGAGAGAGAGAGACAGAGAGAGAGAGAAGAGATTTGGTTTGTGTCTTTTTTATAATTAAACTAGGGGGCTGCAGCGCTAACATGTCCATTGTTTAGATTAACTTAATTTTCTCAGCAAGATCTTAAAAAGGATCATTTATGGGTATGTACATTTTCATTAATGTTACATTAACATTTGTGTCAAAGAGAGAGAGACAGTTTCATTCTGCTCCTCAGATTTGATCCCATGAACAAACTAAACTAAAATTTAACATAAATTCACATTTTGGACATTTCTTCAGTTCAAACATCAATCACACAATAAAGGAACCATCTGTATATTGATCCTGTTGTTTCAGACTGAACTCATGTTAAATAAATTAGATTAGATTAGCGCCCACTTCCTGCACAAAACCAATACAGTTGAGTGTTTTAACTGCAAAAATGCCCACTTTTTTTAAATTCCTCACTCATGTCATGACCAATCAAAATCAAGAAGAGGTGTGGAAGAAACTAACCCTTTTGCACGCAGTGTTTCCATGCACCTGTTTTATGAAGGAGCGATTTCCAGGTCGAGAGCTGCTGCTAATGTCAGGACAGGATTTGTTTTTATTGTATGTTTTCTATGTGAAATGTCCATGGATAATAGCACATTTTAAGCATACTGTACAGGGCAGTGGAGGTTCTGTGAGACAACTTTTGTAAACTAGCAACAGTAAGAGACAGTGTGAAACACTGCCAGCTCACTAAACACCGTTGGTGGACACTGGTCTTAAAGTCTTCTTTGCTTTAAGCTCTGCAGCTCTGGAGCAGGATTGTTCTGATCCTGGATCAGAGCTGAAGATTTGCTGGTTGTTGCCCTGGGGGGACAGCAGACACACTTACCCCTGAAGACCTGATCCCAGGTCAGCCTGAGCCCCCACCTCAAGGTCACTGAGCCCTGTTTAGACCGTGAGCTTTGACCTCTGACCAATCTGATCCAGAACAGCAGCTCAGAGAGAGGAAAGAAGGAAAAGCAGAGACTCTGAACACATGCATGATTACATAACAACAAGACCAATGATGATAATATTGTTATTGCTGGGATTAATCTTTTAATCGCAATTCACACTTATGCCCAGTGTAATACAGACTGCTTGCATTTGTGGTAAAACAGAAAGCAGCCAGTTAGTCCATGATGAATACTAGGAGCATTTTTTCCCCCACACAGCAGCAAACATCCACGGTCTGTGCTACCTCAGCTTCCCAAAGTGATATCAGCTATGTTATTTTTTTATTACTCTGTCAAACTAAATGGAAGGCTAGATTCAAGCTAAATACAGACTTTTGTCTTTATGCCAGTGATCATCAACTGGCGGCCCGAGGGCCACATTAGGCCCCCCCACAGGTTCCCATCCGGACCCCAGGATATAAATTATTGTGGATGATTAAAAAATAAATATAATCATGAAATCACAAGGCTCAAATTCTTGCATAGGTCTGATATCAACTTCTGAACATCAGGCTTGACAGCTGTCAGGTTTATGTTTAAGCATATTTCAAAGTCCGGCCCCCACAGGCTGGCCCTTGTACAAATGTAGTTGAAGACCCCTGCTTCACTGGTAACTGTTGTCACATCTGTAGTTATCTAAAAGTGTAATAAATAATAATGTTAAATGTGAATGAACAGTTAGGGGTAATAACATTTTGAGCGTCTTGATAAAAGTTTTATTTCGTCTTTGTTCTCCGAGTTAATGACTTGTTATTGGACATGTGTTCTGTTCTTATCTCAACAACTGTCATTATTTACCTGTGTACCTGT